TTTTTTTTTTTGTTAAGCATTGCTCTGTATAAGCATTCATTGAAATGAGTAGTCTTGTTTTTTTGTTAAGTTATGCCCTATATATGCTCAAAACACAAACATATTTTGCAAGGAAACCACTTCCAGAAAAGTCATATTTCATTCATAAGCTAATCAATTACAATAGGAGTCATATTTACAACAAGTAGTCAGATAATTACAAAAGCAGTCCGCACCACATATTATTACACTTGCTCATCACCTATTACAAAAGTAGACTATGACCAATTACCCTGCAAATTTAATTGCCAAAAGAGCAATTATGAAGATACAACAAATTAAACACTTTTTCAGCTTCAAATAACTTGAAGCAATTGTCTCAATCCCACTGACTTTGTTTTCCATTTCATAGTTCAAATTCTTCAAACCATCAATCTCTCTATGCAGGTCCAAGTTCTCCTTTTTCAATTGTAAAATCTCATTCATCAGTGCTTGCTCTTTATCCCAGCAATATGTTATCCAAAACTTAGGTCGAGAATCAAAGTCATCATCAAACCAAATGAAAAAATTGCAACTAGATTTCAATTCACATGGATCATTACAGAACAGTCCACAGGTATGGCCGACTTCCTCACCATCCTTCTACAACAATAAAAAAACAATAAAAGCAATAATAAAACAATTAAAAAAATCTGACCAAAAACAATCTTAACCGAAAACAAACAAAAATAAAAAACCAGATTCCTCATCAAAGCAGAGCACAGCACAGCACAGCAAACTGATCGAAGAGCAACAGATATAACCAAAGCAAAGAGAAGATATCTGAGCAGAGCAATATAGAGAAGGATTAACATTAATATATAAACAAATTGCTCAAAGGTCCACATTTGCACAATCTAAAACACAAAAACAAGCTTTACCGAAAATTTTGGACATCCCCAAAACCTGCGTCCATAGTTCAATCGAGTCATAGCAGTTCTTTTAACTGGTCGAAGACCACATTTGTAGAAACCTAAAAACTCGCCATAATGAGGAGATGAAGATGGAGAACCAAATTGAGAGGATGGTTGATGGAAATTGCTTGAATACATGTTGGGTTTGGTGATTGGGTGAATAAAAACAAGGAAGATGATAGGACCAGAAATTTGAAACAAGAATTAGAGAAGATTAATTGAACCAGAGGGGTCTAAGGGAAGGGAAAAAGAAGAAGAACCAGGGAGGGAGAGAGGCCCTATTTTGACTATATCGAAAGATCAAATGATTGAAAAGAAAGAAGAATTTCGAGCAACTAGAGCAACTAGGGTTCCTGGTGCAAGCAAATGGAGGAAACAAGGGAAAATGTTGACAGAGAATTTGGGGCTTGGTGGCGTTAGGGTTTCTACAAATGGGGGAAAATTGGGGAAAAATGTCGAGGGAGAGAGGAGAGATACAAAGAAGACGGTTGCCAAATTTAAAAGAAGAAAACAGGTTCACAAGTGGGCAGCATATGTGGAAAAAAAGAAAAAAACAAATGGGTTTAACTGCTGACCATTTGGGATTTAATGGTTAGCAGTGACAACAACATGGACGGTGTTAGGGGAGGGACGACAACGAACAAAAAAGGCCAAGTAGAGGGATGACGTTTTGGCTCTTTGGAGAGTAGAGGGATGACAACGAACATGACCTTAGTAGAGGGACAAGAACGAATAAAATATTAATGTAGAGGGACGGCAGTTGGCTTTAATCCAATCCACATGCCAGAGAAAGGCAAATACTGAAGTGTGGGTCCAAGACTCGATGCATTAACTGCAGTAACGATCGTCCTTACTGGGTCGATTGCATGCTTAAGGGTTAAGTTTTGCCACTTCGCCATACTTAAATTCCCAGGTATTTTGTCTCATTCCTGTATACCACAGATACTGGATGGGCAGTGGGGAATCCATGCTCACTAAACTACATCCACACAAATTATTGCCCATCTCATTGGCTTCCTCATTTTAAACAAGTGGAAAATGATTCAGGGGAATCCCATGCTCACTAAACTACATCCACTCAAATTACTGCCCATCTCATTCGCATAGACAAAAGGAAAATGATTTTAGGGACAATTTTTAATTATGTATAATTTTTTATGTAAATTTTTATATATTATTTAATAATTATTTCTTTTTAACCTATAAAATTTATAATATTATATATATTAACTTATTTTTAGTAGTGTTAAAATTCTAACCAACATGCTTTTAAGAGTGAGAATTGGCGCTGCAAACTGTGCAAGAGTCTGAAGAAACAGTGTGCTGAGGGAGAGTGAGAGAGAGAGTTGGCTTTGGCAATTGAGACGTTCCCTTGCGATTTGCAGGAGCAACTTAGTCAGTACATGGACCAAAGGTTTGTTTTCTGCATATTTCTATTTTGTGTTTTGGGTGTTTTTTTTGTTATTTCTAATTTACTCAGTCATTTGCAGCTTTGATCTAAATTGAGCTTGCTAATTGAGCATGGAAGTAAGACTTTTAGAACCTGAAACCAACATTTTTTTTGACAATTGAGAACTTGTTTGACAAATAAGAAATTAGCTTGACTTTGTAAAGCCATTTTGGTGGCTTCCCCTCTATCTCTTGAATATTCGTAATCTGTTATTGTATCATGTGATCCTTGAGATTTTATCATGTTGCTAACTGAGCAGAAAACCTGTTTAGCATTAATTCAGTTACAGTTGCATTTGAATGATTTGAACATTAAATTATGAAATATATATATATATATATATATGCATTTGGGGTAAGTATTCTCATAGTCTCAATGGCAAGTATTCATGATTCACCTAATACCTTGGGCCAAAAAAGGAATCCACTACCTGGGAATTTATTATAACAACCATTATGCAAACTTTCAGAGCAAGAATAACAGAATTATGCTGAGGTTTGCACAAAGCAAGTCAGATTTAGGTTTGCTTTGCATATGTGAATCCTTGACTTCAAAAAAAAAAAAAAAAAACAGAAAAAGAATTGATGCATTAATATTATTGATACTTGTTGCGAATCAAGTCTTGACATCAGAGATTCTGTTCTTCATTCATCTTCTCCAGTAGCTTCTGTTTGACCTTTTCAAGGGCATGTTCTAGGTTCTCCAGCTGCATATATCATTGGGGTGAGCTTTTTAATCTTACTTGATACTTATATGTCAATAGAGGTGGAGTCATCTTCAACAACCCCAAATTCATTTTGGAATGTTTAGAGCAATTACATACCTCTTGTTTGGCAAACCTGTTATGGATAAACAATCCACTGAACAAATCGAAACTATTATTGGCAACGGTCTCACTCTGCAAGTAAGCTGATATTATTGCATCTCTTCATTCTTGGTTTCTTATGCTACTGTTTTTCCTAGGAGTTGAGGGGAAAAAAAAAATCACAAACAAATTCTTGATAGAACTTACCAATTGAAATAGTGTTTCAAAGCTCTTTGTGTTTATTGGTGTGGACTTGATATCCATTTCTGAGAATACTCTGTGAATTGGGAATAAAAATAAATTTCATTCAATCAAAATCCTTTTCTGTTCTTGAAAACAAAATGGGGTTGAGGAACTATTCATTTGTACCTGCCAATGATGTGAGTAAGAAATTGACTGTTGGCAGCGACTTTGTCATGTTCTTCACAAGACATTTCTACCATTCTGCAACCCTGTTTAACATATGATGAGTCTATAACAGGATGAGATGGAAGAGGAGAAGGAAGACAGAGGAGAGACTGAAGGTTCAATTACCTCACTTTGAAAAATATGAAGGAAGGAGGAGCAGATAATTTCATCCCTCACCCGAACTCTCTCATACACAAAGGCAAGATCTTTCCATCCATCTCTGCCACTGTCTGGCCCAAACATCGGGTGAGTGCAGAGCACATCCATTTCCTCTGGTAAAAACTGTACAAAACATACTCATATGGAATTCCCACATAGCCATATGTATCATCATCACAAAAATCCTATGAATTAAATGATATTAGGAAGGCTGCCTAGGTAGATCATCATACCTGCAGTAAGAAGTTCCTCGGGTATTCTTTGACAGAGAGGACATCAACAAATAGCGTCCTGCGTTTGAGACATTCCAGTGGCAATGCTTGGAGCACCCCAGATAGAGATAGGATGGATGTGCATATTAATATGACATCGTTATCAGCTTCAAGAAAAGCACGCGCATCTCTGTGCCAATTAATCCATAAACACAAGCATTACAATACAAATCTGCCGGTTTTCAAAGATTTTTACAAGAAGAAGAAACCAATCTAGCATCAAGCTATAATTCCATGAACACAAGTACTTACATGAAGAATGAAATACCCAGATGATTGCAGATTTTTGAGTGATCTGTCCTGGAAGTCGCCCGCATTGCATGCCCTTGTTTGACCATTGTCTTTGCCAGGAACTGTCCAAATGATCCAAAGCCAACTATGCCTATTTTCAGACATTGTGAAGACAAGGAAGAAGAAGCAGACATTTTTAGAGAGAGGGAGGAGGGAAATGTGTTTAGCTTGGGATTTCTGTACTGGACAGCAGAGCCACGTTTTATCTAGGAAGGAATCAAAATTTGTTGAAATTGGAGGTGTGAAAGTGAAACCCAAGTCTCTTTATTTAAGTAATTTAGGAAATTAGAAACCCATACGTTTCAGTCTCACTGTTTGGTGACGTCGTTGCTTCTGCATTCTGCAAGGTGGCTTATCTCGTTTTCTCTTTGAATTTTTTTAGTAAATTCCTATTACGAGGATAATTTTTTATATTAT